TTCTTGCTGAAACGTCTCGGCCTGGGCTTTGACATTTCGGTGAAAAGCCTCTGGAACACTGAGACTCTTTGCGGGATGACTTTTCGTTTGGCGTAGTTATATTCCAACAATGCTGCTTTAATTTCTTGAATAATTCTCTTTCGAAATTTATTCACACCTACAGCTTGATAGTACGATTCATCGGTATGATTACCGAAAAATCCTATCGTCTGTTGGTATGACCTCCCAGGTATAACGATGTCTTTTGACGAACACGTCTTCTTCTGGGGGTGTAAAGCCTTGTTGGCATTCTCAGGACAAATTATTATTATCTTTGAGCGATCCAAGGTTATGTCAGGAGTCACACGTTTAGAACCACCCCCTTGCGGGTATAGAGTCTTAACGAGCTCCGAATGCTGATTTTGCATAACTCCAGACTTCGGAATCCAAACTTTGTAGAATTTTGGTGGTTCTTTGGCCACCGTTTTCTTGTTTCTTTCTCGTCTTTGTTGTAAGAGAGCACGGGCATAAGCAGCGTTTGCACGACGCTTTTGTATACGTTCTTTGAGGGTTGAGCGAGCCCTCTTGACAAAAGTCCATTAATCCGTCGTTAGTTTAGCAGAGATATGAGTGATTGGTTGTTGAGACAACTAAACCACTCGATGCCTCCTCGACTCTAGGTCCGCGTGATAACGAACCCCGTCGGTTTGATCCAAGGCCTTAGCTATTTGGTGAGCGCGGCGCTGACGTTGTCTCTGACGAGCCCTCTTCGTAAGTGACGATGGGCTTTGATTCGATGACTCTTTAACTAGATAAGAGTCATCGCGAGCAGAGATGTTGCGAGTAGAATCCTCCGCAACAATCAGGCGAGAGTCTTCATTTTGTGCCTTCTTTGGCATGTAAGTCTTCTTCAATGGTGAGATCCTCTTGTACTTGCGAGACAATGAAGATCTTGAAGAGGATGATGAGAGATATTCCTCAAACTTGGTTTGGTCGAATTCGTATTCGACCATGGATTCAACTGGAATCTTGATCGGCTGTGACACGACGGTCTCGGTAGCGAGACTGTTGGCTCCCACTGTAGTCGCCAGTTTGTTTTTGTCAAAAGTTGATTTTGTTATGGAATTCATTATATCTTGGATCGATTACAACAAATTCGAAATAGATAGTCTTTTTATAAGACTTCTTTTACACAACAAAAGGAAAATTACATCTTTTTAGAAATAAACGCAAGATCGTTGTTTGGATCGCTGCTTGCGCGGGATCTTTGCCTGTGCCGGGGGTGCGTTAGCCCGTGGACCACCAAATCACAGATTCTGATTGAATCGTGAGGGGTTTAGTGTTTCTTCCTTCATTTATCGAAGTAGGAATTTGAAGTGAATATTTTATCAAAGTAAGACGATCACTCTTCTTAAGATCAAGTCAAAGCTCGAATCTCAAGGAATTACCAGTAGCTCAAGAACTCTGCTCTGTCTGCTCTAAAATGTTCAGCCAATGCTCTCTGATCCCCCCCTTCAAAAATCGATCTCAGGGGGGTATTTATAGCCTCCAGGAATAGTTAGAGGAAACATGCTCGCGAGACAGCATTTGCTGTCTCAGCTGCCGAGACAGTGTTTGCTGTCTCAGCGGCCGAGACAGTGTTTACTGTCTCGGGTTCTGAGACAGTAAAGACTGTCTCGGCCCACGAGACAGTAAACACTATCTCGAAAACAGTAACTGTCTGGCAGTTTTCTTGTAACTGCCTTTCCACGTTTTACAACTCCGTTATTTTGGCAGTTATCAACGTGATTCTCGCCCACGATGTTTTCCACGTCCCTTGACAGTTGGTGGCCACGTAGTAAACACTGTCTCGCATGGCGAGACAGCAAATACTGTCTCGCATGGCGAGACAGTAAAGACTGTCTCACATGCGAGACAGTAAAGACTGTCTCGCGTGCGAGACAGTCCATACTTGTGTTCTTTTGATTTTTGGATGATCTCCTCTTGAGCTGTATTTGGATTTCTTTCAGCATTTTTTGACGCCTACACTAGTGCCGCGGCACATCCTTCAACCGTAGCAGTTCCCAGTGCCGCGGTACATCTTTCAACCATGACAGTCTCCACTACCGTGGCGCACCCTTCAACCGTGACGATCACCTCTGTCACGATCAAAGAAAAGCTCTCAAGACCCCCCCTTTAACCCTGTCAATATCTGTTCCTGGCCCGTCTACTGTAGTCACATCTGCTACATCACCAGTGGAACCATGGGTCAGTCCTGACCTATCAAAGTTCAAGATTTCAATGGCGAATCGCCTCGGTCTCATACCTGATGATCAAGGTAAAACTCTAATTAAAGAATGCTTGAGTCCGTTGAATGAACATCAAGTAAGTTCTTACGCTGGGGGTGGTAAGTATCCTCCTATCAGGATAAAGCAATCCCAGGAGGAGAAAATTCCAATTTCTTCTTGTTTAGGGCCTGTAAAAACTCCATACCCGCGAAGGTGTGGATCTAAACATACAACATTGGATCACTCAAAGGCGACGACAAGTTGTCCTGAGTATGCCAACAAGTCTCATTCACAAAAACAGAAGATAGGTTGCTCTAATCATCATGTTGATGAGCTATATGTAACCCCCCTGGTTTTAACAAGGCTGCAGTCCAAGGTGAAACTAAGAATGTCAAACCTGCCAAACACCAAACACCATGCCACGACATATTTTACCATCACAGTTACTATCTATCTAGTGGAATCAACAACAGGTGTAGGTACAAAGCAGGCAAGAGAGCATATACGGAAAAAAAATACTAAACAACAGATACTCTGAAAAAAATCATCATCACTGATATAAATGGATAAATCTCTGAGAAACAAACAATTGAACTGATACAACTATCTTATAATAGGAAGTCAAATGAAATGACATAAAGGCACATAGCCTTACAAAGCTAGAAATAATATCTTAAATGTTCATAAATACATCTATTGTGGAGTTCTGTCATAAACTATAAATATAATAAATATCTAGATAGAATCTATGAAGACATCTCATCAACCTGCGACTCTCTGTGCACCTAACTCGATGCCTGAAAGGGGGTAAAAACAACGAGTGTTAAAGCGCTATAGCAAGTAACATCTCAACCAACCACAGGGAGGAGGGCTAGAAGGATATGAAAATAGCTATAGATATAAAATAGATAATCAATCAGCAACTCTAAAATGAAGTGGGAGTTTAATATTTAGAAATTTACAACACGAGCATAGGTACGTCCCCCGTAGCTCAAATTATAAATATCTAAATACCAAATCCGAGATACAGCATGGAGCATTAACTCCATCTCCAACCATACTATCAAAATATCCTGACTAATGCCAGATACTTGTCCAACACATGGACTTCATCTACTATATGTTAAATAAAACAACTCAGATAAATGTCCAACACATGGACTGCATATGATAAATACCCAACACATGGACTGTAAAAGGTAAAAGCTCAACACATGGACTATATATGACGAAGGTCCAACACATGGACTGAAATGGGTAAATGTCCAACGTATGAACTATATGATTAAGGTCCAACACATGGGCCGCAATAGACAAGTTTCCAACGCATGGACTGCATATGATTAGTTTCATACAATGAACAGATACAAGTAAAAGCATATATACTATTCACTCTCATATCCCAGTGAATAAATCTAAGACTCATGTTAAAAAGTCAACTAATGTAAACAAATCTCAGTGTACAACAAACCCATATAACCTAGGTGTCTCGCCAGCCATACAACCGCAGGCAAACGACGTACACATGCACAAACAGGTCCCACGGTCGACCTCCAAATTCATGCGGTCGACCGCGCAGTGAGCAGAAAGTTTCTGCTCAGCTGCGCGCCCAACGGTCGACCGTCGTATATTTGCAGTCGACCGTGCAAGAACAGAAAGATTCCTACAGGTTTTCTGTTCTGCGATAGATGATATACAAACTCTTATATGTTAATCTTGCATATTGGAAAACCTTATATGAGTAATTTAGCATATCTAAACATATGAAGAACAATTTAATCACTTTAGACAAAATGAAACATCTTCAAACATACATATTACTGTCGAATCCTTCGAAAATAATTATTTTTATTTCAAAACTCTTGCTAGAATAAAAATTTCAGATCTAGATCCGCATTAAGAAATTCGTGGGTGATCTTTATTAACTGAAGAACTCGTTCTTTTTGTAATATACAATACAAAGATCTATTTATATATATATAAGCTAGCATGTTAATCTCACAAATCTCATAAAAAACATCGTTAAAAATGTTTAAAAACATTAGTGCAGGATTGGGCGAGATGAAACTCGCCTGAGGGGTGATGAACAACTCTAACCACGCTGTAAAAAGTCCTCCTTCGCTGCAAGCCACTAGATCTCACTCAAACTCCCCAAAATCCGCCGAAAATGCCAAGGAGAAGAGGTTAGGGTTTACAAGAGGGAAGAGGGGGCTGTTAGGGTTTAAAGTTCGTGCATGATTGTTTGTGTGCTAGCCTCTCACTTGTTTTCTCTCACATAAATAAACTTGTTTGATCCCCAAACACTTGTTATCACATTTATTATGATATAAATCTATATTTTACAATAAAAACTCATTCACTCTATTTTACGGGATTTTACATTCTTCTCCCCTTAAAAGAATTTCATCCTCAAAATTTTGAAATCGTCTCTCAAAAATTAATAATATGAGAAACGCACTTCGGGAGTAATTAAATTCCCATATACACAACTCATAGCATAAATTTCCAGATATGAACATAGTGCTATCTAAAGTTAACAATCTAAAATACAAATATTCACACCTTAAATCCCTAACTAAATGGAATTAGTATGTCGGGTGAAAAATCCAAACAAGGAACCTTCCATGTATATACCATGTATTCCAAATGATTTGGGACTAAGTGACAATACTCCCATTCTAGTGTTAAAATTAAACATAACTATCCCAAAATCATCATAAACCATAGGGAAAAAATATAATCCAAATAATCTACCTGTTCAAACAGGTGTGGATAGTCACGACACATATCCTCCTCGTGCTCCCAAGAAATCTCCTCAGATCCTTTCCTGTTCCATTGGACTTTCACCAAAGGAATCACCTTATGTCTAAGTTTCTTGTCTTCTCTGGAAAGTATACAAACTAGGATCTCGATCGTAGTCAAATCATCCTGAAGTTCAACCTCTAGGGCATACAATGCTCGCTGTCTCTCCTCATCATGCAAGTACTTCTTGATCATAGAAACGTGAAATACGTCGTGCACACTAGACATCGATGCTGGAAGATCTAGTCTATAAGAAACAACTCCAATACGCTCAATAATCTGAAAAGGGACAATATAACTCGGGGCAAGCTTTCCCCATCTACCAAATCGTTGCACACCCTTCATCGGCGATACCTTTAGCATGACATAATCTCCTACCTGAAACTCTAAAGGTTGCCGTCTATGATTTGCGTACCTCTTCTGCCGACTCTGAGCGGCTAGAATACACTCCCTAATCAATGATACATTTTTGGTAGTCTGCCTCACAAGCTCTGGTCCAAGCAACAAGCTATCCTCCGACTCTGCCCAACATATAAGGGATCTACAGGGCCTCCCGTATAATGCTTCATACGGAGCAATACCAATCGTCGCTTGATAACTATTGTTATAAGCAAACTCTATTAATGGAATATGATTCTCCCAGCTGCCTTGAAAGTCAATGATACAAGCTTGCAACATGTCCTCCAACATCTGATTCACTCTCTCTGTCTGACCGTCTGTCTGAGGGTGGAATACATTGATGTGCAATAATTTACTGCCGAATGAATCCTAGAAACTCTTCCAAAAGTGCAAGGTGAAAACTGATCCTCGATCTGATACAATCGTATCTGGAACTCCGTGAAGTCGAACTATCTCTTGAATAAATATCATCGCATAGGTCTCAGCGATATAAGTGGTCCTCACTAGAATAAAATGTGCCGACTTCGTCAACCGATCCACTATTACCCAAACTGAGTCGTTCCCCTTCTTCGACTTCGGCAACCCCACAATGAAGTCCATAGAAATGTTCGCCCACTTCCACTCTGGAATGGGTAAAGGCTGAAGTATCCCTACTGGTCTCTGGTGCTCTGCCTTCACCTGCTGATAGATAAAACACTTAGCTACATAATCTGTAATATCTTTATGCATACCACTCCACCAAAAGTGTCTCCTTAAGTTTTTGTACATCTTAGTGGTTCCTGGATGCACTGTATATCGGGTACGATGTGCTTCATCAAATAACTCCCTCTTCAGCTCTACACTAGCTGGCATAACCAATCGACCCTTCATTCGAAGGCCTCTATCTGCTCCAATGGTCCAATCATCCTTGGGCTTTTTGGAAATCTCCCCTTTTCGGATTTGAATCCAAGAGTCCTCTAACTGAGCTCTGACTACTCTATCCCTCCAAGATGGCTGCACTGATATAGCTCCCAAGTATGTGCTAGTCCTACCAATCTCCGGCCTAAAATCGAACTGGCTAAGAGTGAGAAGATCTCGATACAACGAACACCTCAAAGCCATAACCTGATGTTAACGCTTCCTACTCAAAGCATCTGCTATGACGTTCGCCTTCCCCGGATGATAGTGAATCACGAGCTCATAGTCCTTGATGAACTCAATCCATTGTCGATGTCTCTGATTAAGTTACTTCTGGGAGAAAAGGTACTTCAGACTCTGGTGGTCTGTGAATAGCTCGAACTAAACTCTATACAAGTAGTGTCTCCACGCCTTCAGCGCGAAAACTACCACTGCTAACTCCAAATCATGAGTGGGGTAGTTCTGCTCATGCACCCTCAACTATCGTAAGATATATACTACTACCCTCTGAGTCTGCATCAGAACACCTCCCAAACCTTCTAACGACGCATCCATGTATACAAAAAATGTCCTGTCACCGCTCGGAATAGTAAGAACTGGCGCTGTAGTCAACTTAGCCTTCAAGGTATCAAAGGCCTTCTGGCACTCCATACTCCAAGTAAACTGTATACCCTTCTTCGTAAGTCGTGTAAGTGGTATCTCAATCTTCGAGAAGTCCTAAATGAACTTCCTGTAATAACTAGCTAACTCCAAAAAGCTACGAATCTCTGTAATCGTCTTCGGCGGTTCCCAATCAATCACTGCTGAAACCTTCGCTGGGTCCACTGCTATGCCCTCTCTGCTAATAATATGGCTAAGGAACCTGACCTCAGAAATCCAAAACTCACACTTGCTGAACTTAGCATATAGCTGATGTTCCCGCAAGGTCTGCAAGGCCAAATGTAGATGCTGCTCGTGCTCCGACTCCAATCTCGAATAGATAAGAATATCATCGATAAATATAATCACAAACTGGTCCAAGTATGGACGAAAGACTCGGTTCAATAAATCCATGAATACCGCGGGTGTATTGGTCAACCCAAATGGCATGACCAAAAACTTAAAGGACCCATATCGAGTTAGAAAGACGGTCTTAGGAGTATCCATTTCCCGAATCTGCAACTGATGATAACCAGAACGAAGATCAATCTTTAAGAAATACTGCGCTCCCTGCAGCTGATAGAACAAGTCATCAATCCGAGACAAAGGATATCTATTCTGGATAGTGACTTTGTTCAATTCACGGTAGTCGATACATAATCGCATACTACTATCCTTCTTCTTTACGAAGAGGACCGACGCTCCCCATAGAGAATGACTCTAACGAATGAAGCCTCGAGCTAACAACTCATCCTACTAGGTCTGTAGCTCCCTCATCTCAGTAGGTGCCATGCGATAGGATGCTTGGGATATAGGGGTTGTGCCCGGCTATAACTTAATACAAAACTCAACCTCTCTCACAGGAGGTAACCCAAGTATGTTCTGAAAGACATCCTAAAAATCTGAGACAACTCTAGTCTCGCATATATCAACACTCTGATCCCGAAGCATCACCTCCTTGATGTACACCAGTAATGACTCTGCAAACTGGTTTCCTTGAGAGGTGGTCACAACTAACTCGAAACCATCGGACTCTCGCAACTTGACTGTTTTCGCAAAACATTCGATACTGACGTGGTAGGAAGATAGCCAATCCATACCAAGAATAACATCAAACTCTGACATGCTCAACACTATTAGATCGAAAACAAACTCTGACTCGTCTAAGCTGATAACACACCTCCTACAAATGCTCTCTAAGAGCGACATCTCACCTAGCGGGGTGGAAACTGAAAAAGGAACATCTAGAGGCTGAGCTATAAGCTGAGGTCTAATCATAAAGGCATAAGATATGAAAGAGTGTGAAGCTCCCAAATCGAAAAGAATACGAGCTGGAAAGGAGTTCATGAAGAGCGTACTCTCCACTATGGCCCCGCTCGCACCATGATCACGAGGGACTATTGCATAGACCCTACCGGTGGCTGGAGCCTGCTCTGCTACTGGAGGTGGAGCATATAGAACTACCTATCCCTAAGGGACCTCCTGAACTGCACGAACCTACCCCTCAATCTGCGAAACCACTGGCGGTGCCTCCAGTCTCATCTGATGGCCCTGACCTCGGCCCTAAAATCGATTTTGTTGCTGATTCTGCCATTTCCCTTGCTGGGCTCCTGCTGGTGCACTACGGCATTTTGATGCTTTGTGCCTAATCTTACGACAATTATAACATGTGCCCTAAAACTTGTGCTGCTGAGGTGCTCTCTGGTCGTGTTGAGGTCCTCTCCTATGAGGGCCTTGCTGCTGCTGCTGCTACTGGGTCCGGAAAATGGCCTCTTATTCTTGTTCTTATCTTTAGTATTTCCTTCTTTGTCCTTTTGGAACATAGCTGACTCATTCTCCTGTGAAGTGGTAGTATCAGCTACCTCTCGAACTGAGTAGAACCTCCTAGAAATGAGGTATCGACGAAGGCTAGGGGGAAGTTGTTCACGAGGAAAATTGTAGCTTTCATTGATTCCATTGCACACTCTTGTAATAGTTTATCGATTACAAAAAATCCGGTCTTTTTATAAGATCCGGTTACAACGAGATCAAAAGAAAGAAAAAAAAATTACAATTCTTTCCTTATTTGTCGAACAAATCACGAGCTCCTGTTTTGCGGTCACTCGCTTCTGTGGGTTCTTCGCCTGCGCCGGGGTTTATCCGTGGACCACCGCGTGATCTAGATCCGGTTAGATCTAAACGGTATAACGGGTATTATCTCGCAAAGGAAATAATAGCCGGGAGGATTAATTCACCAAGGAAATAATCGCCCTCTCGGGATCAAAGGCCAAGCTTTGATCCGGAGTAATACCGTATGGATCTCAGATCCGATCCCTCTTGAACTCCTGCCTTTTCTGACGTGGACGATCGCCGAGCACCGGATCTGAAAGAGCAAGTCTTCGAAGCTTCAAATCTCCAAGGCTCAGATCTCAATTCAGCAGAGCTTCGCCGTCAAAATTTCCAACCCATCACAAATGAGCCATACCCCTCTATTTATAGGCACTTAGATCTGTGCCTTGGCATAGATCTGGCCGGCCACCTAGCCACCTATAGGTGGCTCGGCCACCGAGCCACCTAGAGGTAGCTTGGTTTTGGCCGAGTCCTCCAGGTGTCCGTTTTCCGGTTCCGTGCTTCGTTGTTGATTTGGACTCCGATTTGTTGATCTGAATCCTGATTTGGCAGTAAATCCGCTTCGATGTTCGAGTTCGAATCCGTTCTATGGTTGGATGACTCGTTGACTCACCGGACTGTTAGCTTGATTCCGCACGTGAGTGAATGTACTCCATTGCTTGCGTGCGGTTCGTTAACCTCATCGCCTCGTTAATCCGCATCGTTGCGTGTCACTTTGCTTCGCCGTTGTAGACTGACGCTCGTGTTTGGATATATCGCCCGATGGTTCGTTGGTTTGTTGAATCACCATGCCGAGCTGTGTTAAGGGACCTATAGTTCGTTGGTTTGTTGAATCACCATGCCGAGCTGTGTTAAGGGACCTATAAGTAGTTTTATACGCCTACGAATACCCCCTCCAAAGTATTTCAGCCTCGTTCTTTTATAGAAGAGTCTGGAATGCTTTGGATATGATTGCCCCAACCTTCAATCGGTATGACGGGACTTCGGAATGACTTATGTTCTTGATTCCTTCAATCCTTCAGGCTATTCGGTGCTTTGTCGAATGTCTGTAAGGGTTCCGGTGCTGTATTTATTGTCTGGACGTTGTCGAAACTTTGAACTTGAAGTCGATTCCTGATTTTCTGATCTTTAGCTCGTGTTTGTTGGTTCAACATAGAACTGACCCACGATTGTTGGCGTTGAGTCTTTATTTGCGACGCGTTGTCCGGTGTAGTGTTGTTGAGTTATCCTTAAGAATATTTTTAGAAAAATATTCTCCAGAAACTTCTCAACCAAAAATAGGGAACAGTTTATACTCGTAT